GGAGACAACCAGCTATTGTTCTAAAACGATGGATAAATTTGTTTTTCCCCTATCTAGAAGCCTTTGAGAGGGAACTGGCACTGATTCTAGATACCCCAACAGCTATCAAAGTGGTTGAAAACAAATCCTAGTCCATCACTCTCGAATCCAGTCTTGGCAGACAAAAAATGAGGAGGAACCCAATAGAGGGATGCTTTTGGAAGCTCTTGTCAAGTAATCTCAATGGACTCTGATATGAACATTTGAAATTTGCCCTGTTCTGACTTTTTTCTGGTTCCCTGTCTAGAACCTGTAATGCTAATTACTCTTGCCTTTACTTCTCCTTCACATCTCCTATTCACCAGTCAAGGACTTTCTCTCCCTACAGATAAGAGTTATTCAACTTGAGAGTCTTTTATATAGACTCAATGAAGGGGTACTCCAATTGCCTCACCCTGCATCCCTGTTCAGCATGGAAGAAGCCAGAGCGGTCTGTGTCCCTATTCCCTATTGGCAATTTGGGTATCCTCTTCAGAGCATGGTGTAACAAGAATAGGAGGTAGAAATTGGCTAGGCAGTTAGGGTAAAAAGACCCCAAAGAAAAGTAGCCAGGTTCTTGGCTAAAAGTTAAAATGTTCTTGGGCCTCTTAGCAACATACTCTGTTCCAAAGGCCAAAAATGTCAAAAGTATTTGGGAGCTCTTATCTAATCCCTTAAAGATTTTAGGGTTACCTCTTCAGAGGGGGGAATGTTAGAGTAGCCAAAAGCCCCATTTTCAAAAAAAAAAAGGAAAGAAGGAAGGGAGGGAGGGAAAGAGAAAGAAAAAGAGAGAGAGAGAAAGAAAGAACATGAAGTTGTCAGAAGAAAGTGATGGGGGGATATGGGAGGTGGTGAAGGGGAGGGAGTGGGTATGGAGTTGATCAAAACACCCTATATGCATGTATGAAATTCTCAATAAAGTTTAAAAAAAAAGAAAAACAGGCATAGACTTAACCACACTCTGGCAGTTCCAAAAGATATAGAAGTGTAAGTCCTTACATCTGTAAGCAAATGTCCAAAGCAACATAATATCCAAAATACGACTCAAATGTCCACCACCTTGTGAATGGGTGAAGGATCAAGATATATTTATGAAGTAGAACACAACACAGCCATGAAAAGGAGCTACTGATTACGTGCAAGAACATGGGTGACTCTAAAATCATGATACTGATAGAAACCACATACTTCAGACATGTTATACAACTGCATTTAGTGGCATTCTAGAAAACCCAGACTACAGGTACAGAAACTAAGTCAGCAGTGACCAGAAGCTAACAATTGGAGGAGCAGTGACCAGAGGCTAACAATTGGAGGAGCAGTGACCAGAGGCTAACAATTGGAGGAGCAGTGACCAGAGGCTAACAATTGGAGGAGCAGTGACCAGAGGCTAACAATTGGAGGAGCAGTGACCAGAGGCTAACAATTGGAGGAGGGCATGGCTGCAGAGGAGCATGGGGAAGTTTCATGGAGTGACAGGCGTGAAACAAATATCCTGATGTTATGTTGGAAAGGTGACCAATGAGACCATATGTTAAAGTTCATCAAACTGTACACTTAAAATAGGTGAATTCAGCCAGGCATGGTGGCGCACGCTTGTAGTCCCAGCACTTGGAAAGCAGAGGCAGGCGGATCTCTGTGAGTTCAAGGCCAGCCTGGTCTACATAGTGAGTTTCAGGACAGCTGGGGCTACAGGAAGACCCTGCTTTGAAAAGACAAAAAAAAAAAAAAAAAGAAAAAGAAAAAAAGGTGAATTCAGTGAATATCAACTTTACCGTAGATGGTTTTTAAAAAAATATTTTACGTGTATGAGTATATTTCTTGCTTGTACCTAAGTGCACCCGTGTCCCGCAATGCCAGTGGAGGTCAGAAGAAGGCATTGGATTCTCCTGGAACTGGAGTTCAGACAGTTGTTAACCATCATGTGGGTGCTGGGAATTGAACCTGGATCCTCTGGAAGAGCAGCCAGTACTCTTAACTGCTGAGCCATCTCTCCAGCCACTGAAGCTGGTTTTAAAAGACTACTAAAATTATGCTATAAAGAAATCTGTTTGTCAACAGCTTTTCCTTCCGTCCCAAATGAATTCTTGTTCAACACCTACTGAGATACTCCAGGATCATCGTTTATGTATACTGTGGTTTGGAAATATCCCAAGGGCCTTTATGCCAAAATTGTGGCCCTGGGACTGGAGACATGGCTCATTCAGTAAAGTGCTTGCTGCCCAAGTATAAGGACCTGAGTTCAATCTCCAGAACCTACATAAAAGCTGGGCATAGCAGTGCCTAAAATCTCCACACTGGGGAGGTAGAGACAGGAGGACTCCTGGGGCTTGCTGGACAGTCAGTCTAGGTAAAATGGAACATCCCAGGTTCCATGAGAGAGACTGTTTCAAAAAACAAGGTGGAGAGTGACTGAGGAAGACATATAACATCAACACATACGCACGCACACACAGGAACACACAAACACGTGAACATATACCCCATGCAAATAAACCGTGGTCCTCAGCACATGTTGATTTCAGGAGGTAAAGCACTGTGGGAGGAAGCTGTGTTACTGGCATGTCCTTGAAGGAGATATTGGAACCCTGGCCTCCTCTTTCCTGCTTTGCTTTCTCCACAATGAGGTGACGTGCTCTCTGTCAGATGCTCTTGCCATGCTATGCCAGACCACTGTAGCCAAAGCAATGGGTCTGATTGAGCATGGATTGAAATCATGAGGCAAAATCAATCTTTTATCTTTATAAACTGATTATCTTGGGTATTTTATCTAGCAGTGGGAAGCTGATTAACACACTGTACTACAATGAAGGAAAATATTTCCTGTATTTGATCATAGGCTGGTGAGTGGGAAGAAATAGGAAATATAGCTCTACGACTTCCCAGTTTATTTGGCATGGAAATAATATCCAGATGCTATTTCAGTAAAAGACTGGGTAGGGGGCTGGAGAGATGGCTCAGCAGTTAAGAGCACTGCCCTTGCAGAGGACCGGGTTCACTTCCCAGCACCCACATGGCTGCTATGAACCATCCTTAACTCCAGTTCCAGGGGAATCTGAAGCCCTCTTCTGACCTCTGCAGCATTGCATGACAAGTTCACATAAAATAAAAATAATGAATAAAATATTTTTTTTTAAAGACTGGGTAGAAAAACTGCAACACTAAAAGAATCGATAACTTATTCTATTCTCTACCTAGGATTTGACTTATTTATCAAAATTTAGTATCGTTTGAAATTTTCAATTTATAAAAATTAAGAACATTAGCCATTGCGGATGGTCAGTGGATAAAATTCATACCACTACACCTGATGGCCTGAATTTGATCCCTGGGACCCACGTAGTGAAAGGAGAAAGCCAACTCCCACAAGCTGTCCTCTGAACTCCACACATGCACAAAATATATAATTAAAACCAATTTTTTGGTCTTTTTGAGACAGGGTCTCCCTGTAGCCCCAGCTGACTTGGAACTTACTATGTAGACCAGGCTGGCCTTGAACTTACAGAGATCTCCCTGCCTCTGCTTTCCAAGTGCTGGGATTAAAGGCATGTGCTACCACACCCAGCCTTAAAACAATTTTTAAATTAAGAACAAAAAGAATTTCCTAGGCTTCCAAGTGTTAAGTAGAAAAGAGCAAAATTCCTTTTTCAAGCTCAGAAATTATCCCCCAAGGTTTAGCTTCTAAGTAGCTGTAGATTAGGCTGACGAGCTGGTTTAGCAGTTAAGAACACTTGTTGCTCTTACAGAGGACTCTGAGTTGAAGAGGGGGTATAGCTCAGGGGCAGAGCATTTGACTGCAGAGAACCTGAGTTCAGTTCCCAGCATCCACATTGTGTGGCTTACAACTGCCTGCAACTCCAAGGATCTGGTGCCCTCTTCTGGCCTTGAGGGCACCTGCACACACATGTGCATACACACACATACCTATAAATAAAAAATAAATTAGATCATTAAAAAAGAACTGTAGGTAACTACTTAAATACATTTGGGGGGGGCTTTTTGAGACAGGGTCTCCCCGTACCCCAGCTATTCTGGAACTCACTATGTAGACCAGGCTGGCCTTGAACTCACAGAGATCCACCTGTCTCTGCCTTCCAAGTGTTGGGTGTGCACCACCATGCCTGGCTCTTAAATACATTTTTGACTAATAGTATAATTGCAATGTTCTGGAAAACAGGTCAAATTCCATATTTTAAGCCTAGGGTTCACATGACCCTTACAGTGCAATATTTTTTCTATTCCTTTCCTATGAGAATTTTGGGTATCAGAAAATTGGTTACTGTCTATTTTCCATTTGTAAATCATACTAAATTGGTATGTGTGTTTTTCTCAGAATTAAAAATTATGTAAACTCCAGGCTGGTAAAGAGGCTCAGTGGGCAAAAGCACTGGCTACACAACCCTGATGACCTGAGTTGGATTCCTGGAATCCAGGAGAGAAGTAGCTCAACAAAAGTTTTCCTCTGTCCTCTACATGTATGACATGGCACATGTGCTCACACTGAGCCTTGGGGAGGGGCCAGGTTTATTTAGGGTATATGCATTAGGCAGCTTTTTGTTACTGTAACAAATAGCTGGGATAATCCATTTGTGAAGAGTTAAGGTTTTCTTTGCTCATAGTTTCATAGGCTCTAGCCTGTTACTTTTTGGGCCAGCACTGAAGCATCACACCACAGAGGCAGCAGGAGGTAAAAGACAGAGACTGGGGTCCCACAATCCCTACTAACCTGAGGAGCATCCAGTGGATGCCACCTCTTTATTTCCACAGCCTCCCAGTGGTCCAACCTGGGGGCAAAGCCTTTGACACAGACCTTTGGGCCACTTAGATACAAACCACAGTTTCTCTCTCTCTCTCTCTCTCTCTCTCTCTCTCTCTCTCTCTCTCTCTGTGTGTGTGTGTGTGTGTGTGTGTGTGTGTGTGTGTGTGTTAAAGAAATGCTTCAGAGATGCTAGGGCTGGTGACACATGTGATCTTCTTTCCAGAACGATGTTTTCCGTGATATTGGGAGGGGAATTCTAGACAGTCGCTACAATGCGACTCTCCTGGCTTATGGCCAGACTGGCTCTGGAAAAAGCTACTCCATGATTGGATTTGGCACAAACAAGGGTATTATTCCAAGAGTGTGTGAAGAGCTCTTTCATGCTGTTGAGGACCAGGAGAAAAATCAGGAATGTCAGGTATGCAGTATTCTGGCCTCCTTCTTCAAAGAATTATACTTTTTCATTTTCTGCAGATGGAAGTCATCAGCATCTCTATTCTAGGATGTATGTGTGTCCTAATACATATATTTGTATATCATGTTATATATGATGATGGGACTTGAACCCAAGGCCAATCCATGCTTAAGTACATGCTCTATCCTGAACTACCCCCCAGCCCCGAGAGTGTTACTTACTTACTGTCCTCAGAATGATTTCTTACCCTGGCATAGAAGACTCTTTGGATCAATTGAACCTTGGTAACATTTTCAAAATGGGCAGTAAAATGTCAGCAAACACCCATAGGCACAGTCTATGCTTCTGCTTGCTCTCGACAGCAGAAGAGATTAAACGAAATGCAAACAAGACGGCAGCCTACACGTTTGTTACAAAGGCAATTTTTGTTCTTAGTTTTTGGTCCATGGTTGATTGAATCACACATATAGAACTTGTGGATTTGCAGTGCCATCAAATTCTAGAAACTACTGAAAGATCCTGATTAGTAGGCCAGGTGGATGAGATATAAGTCACTTCCATAAAGCCCTTCATTAAAACCCCCAACAGCAGTGACAGTTTTATAGAGGAAGCCTCCAGCCTCCCACCCCATCTACCTCCAGCTCTTTGCTCTCACCGTCATCCCAGCATTTAGAAACGATTACGTTTCTTTCCTTTTATCTTTCTTTTTCATTTTGTTTTTCCTGAGAAAGGTTCCCACTCTTTAGCCCAGGCTTGCCTGAACTATGTAGCCCAAACTGGCCTTGAACTTGATGCAATCCTCCTGCCTCAGCCTCCCAAGTGTGAGGTTACAGATATATACCACCAGGTTGGCCCTTCTCTTGAAAAACAACCGTGACAATATCTACTATTTTCCTAGCACAGTACAAGAGAGTTACATTCTGCACCGCTCAATTCTTTTACCCCAACACTCTCTTGCATAGTTATAAAATTTGGTTAAATTCATACTGATTAACATTATAGTTGTACAAATATTGTTCACTCATGAACCAGATAATGCATTCATCCTGTCTACACTTTGGTGGTTTTCCTTGGGCTTTTTTTTTTTTTTTTGGTCTTTTTGACACAGGTCTCCCTGTAGCCCCAGCTGGCCTGGAACTCCCTATGTACACCAGGCTGGCCTCGAAATCACAGAGATCTGCCTGCTTCTGCCACCCGAGTGCTGGCATCAAAGGCATATGCTACCATGCCTGGCTCTTCCTTGGGTTTTTTTTTTTTGGTGTTGTTTGTTTTGTTTTTGGTCTTTTTTGAGACAGGGTCTCCCTGTAGCCCCAGCTGTTCTGAAACTCGCTATGTAGAGCAGGCTGGCCTTGAACTCACGGAGATCTGCCTGCCTCTGCCTCCAGAGTGCTAGGATTAAAGGCCTGAGCCACGATGCCTGGCTTTTTTTTTTTTTTAATGTGTATGAGTGTATCACCTACATGTATGTAAGTACACCTATGTTGTGGAATGCCCACAGAGATCATAAGAGGGCATCAGATCCCCTGGAACTGGAGTTACAGATGGTTGTTAGCTGCCATGTGGGTGCTGGGAATTGAACCCAGATCCTCTGCAAGAGCAACCAGTTCTCTTAACCACTCAGCCATCTCTCCAACCCCTCCTGGGGCTTTTGAAAAAAATTATTATTTTTACTTTATGTATGTGAGAGTATTGTCTGCATGTATGTAAGTGCATCTCTGTTGTGTGATGCCCTTGGGGGTCAAAAAAGGGCTTCATAGTCCCTGGAACTGGACTTACAGATGGTTGTTAGCTGCCCTGTGGTTGCTGGGAATTGAACGCGGGTCCTCTGCAAGAGCAGCCATCTTTCCAGCCCCTCTCCTTGGGCTTTTTAAATTGCTTTTGAGCCAGGTGTGGTGGCACACACCTTTGATCTCAGCACTCAAGAGGCAGAGGCAGGTGGATCTCTGTGAGTCGGAGGCCAGCCTGGTCTACATAAGGAGTTCCAGGCCAGCTGGGGCTACAGGGAAACCCTGCCTCAAAAAAAGACCAAATAATAATAATAAATTGCTTTTGAATTTTTTTAAAAATTATTTTATGTGTTATGAGTGTTTTGCCTGCGTGTGTGTGTGTGTGTGTGTGTGTGTGTACATGTGTGTCTAGTGCCTGAAGAGGCCAGCAGAGGGCATCAAATCCCCAGGAACTGGAGTTACAGGCAGTTGTGAGTCACCATGTGAGTGCTGAGAATAGAATATAGTTTCTCTGGAAGAGCAGCCAATGCTCTTACCTCTGAGCTATCTCTCCAACCCCACCCTTTGAATTTTTTAATTCAAATTTTAATTATTACTATTATTGTTATTAGTGTATTTGTGTGTAAGATGTCTGTGAGTGTGAGCATGCAATGCTATGGCATGCCTGCGGAAGTCAGAAGACAATTTTTGGTCAGTTTTCTTCTACTGTGGGTTCTGGGGATGGAACTCAGGTTTTCAGGGTTGTGTGGCAAGCGCTTTTATCCACTGAGCCATCTCTGTGGCCCTGAAATTTTTTATACATTTGCATTTCTATAAATCTGTTTTTCTGAATGCTCCAAATTACTAGTACTTGCATAGTCACATTTTCTATAGATTTCCTCTCACGGAGTCCCTGGTTTTCATGTGTCTCCTTCAGCAGGGACACCAGGGTCTACGTCCTGCTGTGATTTGGAGCTGTGCTTCTGAGTCAGCTGCAGACCTGCCATCCTGGAACTTTACTTCCCTGTCCCCCTTTCTTGGCTCTCTGGTTCCTGGATGGGATTCGCTCCTCCTGCCCTTTAGCTGTAACTTCCTCTGAAAAGGTGTACTAGGGATACAATGTCTGTATCCTCTGCATAGGTGAAAATACCTCTTCTGACCTCCAGGCTTGCTTAAAGTTTATGCAGATTATAATTCTATATCTGTAAGATAGAAAACACCTTTCCAATTCCCATAGGATCTAATGATGAGCTGAGCCATGCTCATTTCAGAGTCTGGGTGCCACTGTGTGGGTGTCCCTCTATGTTCTTCATCTCAGTATTCTCTGTGTCTGTTTTTATCTCACAAGAGGCTAGAGGTTGACTATGCGTCAGTTCTCTCATCATTTTCGCCCTCGTTTTCTATCTCAGAGGGTCTCATGTAACTCAGGCTGGCCTCACACTTGCTGTGTAGCAGAGGATGACCTCGAACTTCTTATCCTCCCGCTTCCATCTCCCCAGTCCTGGGATTATAGGCGTGTACACTGTGCCTGCAAGAGGCAGAACATGGGGCTTCAGGCATACTAGGCAAGCACTCTATTAACTGAGCTGGAAATTCTAATTGATTCTTTTTTTTTTTTTAAGTCTTTTTGAGACAGGGTCTCCCAGTAGCCCCAGCTGTCCTGGACTCACTATGTACACCAGACTAGCCTTGAACTCACAGAGATCCACCTGCCTCTGCCTCCCGAGTGCTGGGATTAAAGGCATGTGCCACCTTGCCCAGCTACAAATACTATTTCTTTTTTTTAATATTTTATTTATTATTTCTATTTTATGTGTACAAGTGTATTGCCTGCATGTATGTGAGTGCACCTGTATCGTGCAATGCTATGGAGGTCAGAAGAGGGTTTCGGATTCCCCTGGAACTGGAGTTTGTAGCCGCCATGTGGGTGCTGGGAATCAAACCCGGGTCCTCTGCAAGAGTAATCAGTGCTCTTAACCGCTGAGCCATCTCTCCAGCCCCCCTACTTCTTATTCCTTAATATCTCCTTTTCTTGTGGAACCCTGTCTCATTTCCATTGATATAATTCTGTCTTTGAGGCACTGAATTCAGAGGCTTTAACATATCTTCTGCTCTGGGCACTGCTGTTCTGAGTTCCTGTTTTCTGCTTGTTTGCTTGATCTCGCTTTTTCCTTGGCAAATTCTCAGTCATTTTCCGCCCCCCACAGTTTCATGAGACACTCTGGCCGGCTGGAACCTCTGCAAAACCAAGACTTGACTGACTGACCACAGGTGCCTGATAGATGAGCCACTTAGGCTTTGGGGAGCTGCTGGGGCTAAATACACACGAGGCACACATATTTTTGGTCTCTTTGTTGTTTTCTGTTTTGTTTTGTTTTCTGTTTTCTGTTTTGTTTTGAGACATGGCCTCACTCTGCACTCTGCACTCAGGCGACCTAGAATTCCCTATCTTTCTGTCTCAGCTTCCTGACTGCTAGGATTACAAGTCTGTTCCACTGTCCCTGTTTTATATCTTTCTGTTTTGTTTGTCTTTTCCAGACAGGGTCTCCCTGTAGCCCCAGCTGTCCTGGAACTCACTATGTAGATCAGGATGGCCGTGAACTCCCAAAGATCCACCTGCCTCTGCCTCCAGAGTGCTGGGACTAAAGGTGTGCGCCACCACACCAGGCTGTTTGTTCAATTCCCAGCACCCACATGGCAGCTAAGAACTGTCCATAACTCCAGTTCCAGGGGATCTGACAGCCTCTTCTGTCCTCCGTGGACATTGCACGACACGGGTGCACTTGCCTACTTGCAGGCCTAACATTCATACACATAAAATAAAAATAATAAATAAAATTATTTAAAAATTATTTATTTTTACATGTATAAGCACATTGCTTGCATTTATGTAAGTGCACCGTGTCACAGTCTACCCACAGAAGTGAGAAGAGGCTGTCCAATTCCCTAGAACTGGAGTTTTGGATGGTCATTAGCCACTATGTGGGTGCTAGGAACTAAACCCAGATCCTCTACAAGGGCAGCCAGTGCTCTTAAGCACTGAGTGATCTCTCCAGTCCCCTGTTTTGTATCTTTTAAAAATAAATTATGTGTGTGTGTGTGGTGCATAAGCATATGCACATCTATCTGGGCAGGTGTCTGTGCCTCTGTGCATTCTTTTGTCTTTTTTAAATATTTTATTTATTATTTTTATTTTGTGTGTGTGTGTGTGTGTGTGTGTTGTATGTAAGTGTAACATATATGTGTGATGCCTGTGGAGGTCAGAAGAGGGCATCAGCGGATCCCCTGGAACTGTAGTTCTGGACAGTCGTTAGCTGCCATGTGGGTGCTGGGATTCGAACCCAGTTCTTCTGCAAGAACAACCAGTGTTCTTAACCACTGAGCCATCTCTCCAGCCCTTTCTTTGTCTTTTTTGAAACAGGGTCTGCCTGTAGCCCCAGCTGTCCTGGAACTCACAGAGATCCACCTGCCTCTGCCCCCTGAGTGCTGGGATTAAAAGTATCCGCCACCATGCCCAGCCTATTTGTATCTTTTAAAAATTTATATTGGGGCTGGAGAGATGGCTCAGCAGTTAAGAACACTGGTTGTTCTTGCAGAAAACCTGGGTTTGAATCCCAACACCCACATGGCAGCTAACAACTCCAGTTCCAGGGGATCCAACAGCCTCTTCTGTCCTCTGTGGACATTCTACAACACAGATACACTTACCTACATGCAGGCAATACACATACACACATAAAATAAAAATAATAAAAAAGAATTTTAAATGATGCCTTAATGCGAACAGGAACCTGTTCTCCTTTGAATTAGAGAAGTGGCAGGAATCAAAATCAGGTGTATTAAAAATATTTTTAAAATTTATATTAAGAAGCTTTCCAGGGTTATTCAAATTACTTGAGAACTGTGCATGATGAAGTTTGCTATATTTAATGCTAACTTTTCCCTAATCACTTCCTGAAACATTTCTAGAAAACATTTACTCACTGTTCTCTCTGCAGGTCACGTTCAGTATGCTGGAAATCTACAATGAACAGGTAACATGTTTTCTGTTCTCTCACGCTCACCCCCCGCCCAGATTAAACCCTGGGCCTTGCACGTACGAACACTTCAATTCCACAGCATTCTCATGTGTCACAAAATATTTTCCCCCAATCATGCAGTCATGTCAAAGTGTGAAATACAGTCTTTTGAAAAAATTTTTATTTATTATTTTTATTTTATGTGTATGAGTCTATTTCCTACATGTAGGTAAGTTCACCCATGTCGTGCAATGTCCATGGAGGTCAGAAGAGGGCATCAGATGCCCTGGAACTGGAGTCAAGGACAATTGTTAGCTGCCATGTGGGTGCTGGGGTTTGAGCCTCTGACGGTTGCTGTGGTTTAACCTAGTCAAATGTGTCTTTTGGATGCCTTACATGTTACTAACTTCTAATCATTTTTAGATTGTTGTATCTTATTCTCAGTAGAATAAGACATAATATTTTGAGGTTTGTACATTTATTTACTTTGTGTGTGTGTGTGTGTGTGTGTGTGTGCGCGCACGCGTGCGCACACACACTGTGGCATGCATGTGGAGGTCAGAGGACAACCCTTGGAAGTCAGTTCACACCTTCCACCTGTGGGTTCTAGCGGTGGAACTCAGGTCATCAGGCTTAGTGGCAAGTGCCTTTACCTGCTAAGCTTTCTTACAGGTTGAAGACTTCATTTATTACTCTGTAATACAGAATTTATGGTAACTTAGAAAGAGGCTAGGGTCTTATTTTTATAACACTTAGAAGGGAATTGCTAATGTATCTTAAAATGCAAGATTTCCACTAGAGGGTTGGGGTGTAGCTCAGTGGTAGAGCACTTGCTTAGCATACTAAGGCCCTGGGCACCATTCCAAGGACCACTGAAAAATAAAAATTAAAAAAGGGGTGGCACTGGACAGATGGCTCACTGGTTAAGAGCATTGGATGTTCTTGCAGAAGACCCAGGTTCAGTTCCCAGCACCCACATGGCGGCTAACAGCCATCTGTTCTCCAGGGGACCTGATGCCCTCTTCTCTGTGGGTACTGCATGCCCGTGGTGTACCTACATATATGCAGGCAAAACACATACACATACTCATACCCCCCGCAAAAAAACCAAAAATGATTTCTAAGAATATTTATGCAAATAAGAGAAAAATGTGTTCAACCTGGGAAGGTTTAAATCTGTTTAGAGTCCAGGAAGTTTATACTCATGCTGCAGAAGTGGCTTCCAGCCTCCTGTGACCCTCAGCAGACACCCTCAGCCTGTGCACTCAACCAGCCTTCCTGGAGCACTCCCGTGGGTCTGGAGAAAGATCTCACTGCATCCTTAACAATTCACACTGATTGGAGTGTAGAGATAAATGAAAATTAGGCATTTCTAAAAATAATTGCTTAAATTAATTTTTTTTCTTTTGGTCTTTTTGAAACAGGGTCTCCCTATTGCCCCAGCTGGCCTGGAACTCGCTATGTAGACCAGGCTGGCCTGGAACTCACAGAGATATGGATGCCTCTACCTCCCAAGTACTGGGATTAAAGGCGTGTGCCACCATGCCCAGCTACTTAAATTAATTTTTAAAAATTAGGCTTCTGCGGGTTGGTGAGATGGCTCAGCAGGTAAAGGTGCTTGTTGCCAAGTCTGATGGCCTGAGTTCAATCCCTGAACACATATAGAAATGGAAGAAGAGGACAGGCTCCTTCTGGCCTCCACACATGCACACTGTGGCAACATATACACACATGTAATAAATAAAAATTTAAATTAAAATTATCTACTTTCACATGTTCTTGTACATTTCCTTGTTTCTTACTTAGCTCAATTATAAGATTGCCCAGTACCTGTAGAAACTTAGTATTTATTCAACCATGTACTGAGTACCTAATATATTGTAGGCAGACATAAAACAAGGAAGGAATTAACACTTCCTGCCTTCTTGATATTTATATAATTTCTTCTCCCCTATCCCCTACAGATAAGAGATTTGCTGTCTAGAACCAAAAGTCCTGGAGGGTTAAAAGTCAGGGAAGATCAACAGCTGGGGTTTTTTGTGGAAGGTCTGAAGTCGGTGCCCTGTGAGAATTATGCACAAATTGAAAAGCTGATGGAACAGGGAACAAAAATCAGAACAACAGCTACGACCAACATGAATGTCAGCAGCAGCCGGTCCCACATGGTCATCACTATACAGTTCAAACAGGTAAGGGTCCTCACCTGTGGGAAGGGCTTCCGCTGCTAAAGCAGACTGATTGGTACTATGGAATCTTTCCGGAGTGGGCCAATGGGCTAAGGCCGCTGCTTCAGCTATAAAACACTGGGTCAGGACCGGGAGGGGAAAGGTGAGGCACCTACCCTTCTGCCTATCCCTCACCTAAGCAGGCTCGTTGCTTACAGTGGAGTGTGATCAACCAGATCCCCAACATGTCTGCCTCAGGACATGTCTATTTTTCCTCAAGTAGATGCTACACTTTGAGGAGTAAAATTTGACCCCAAGTTGATGAAGGAGTCAACTGTGATGATGTGAATCTCTGTGGTTTAACAAGGAGAATTAATATTAGTAGCAGGTCCTCAGTCTAAGACCCAGCCATGAGTCAAGGGCACAAAGTTTGATGTACCTTTCTAAGTCTTGGAAATACCAAGACCAGTTCTTGGAATCTCTGTAACATCCACTGACTAAAGCCTTTGATAAGCCAGAGAACATTCTTTTCTCCATTCTCCTTGGTGGGTACCAGGAAGCCATCTAAGCAACCTTCCCAATTTATTCTAGAAATAGTTATTCACAAGTCTTGGGTGAATGTTCCAGCAAGCTATGATTCCTGCCTTTCAGTTGCTGAGCCAGCAGGATAGAGAAAACCATCCTGCTCACACCAAGAACAATGAACAGATGCTGGGCTAGGTTTAAGTCTGACTCTGGTGGTTTCCACTGCAAAGACTTTGAGAAATAAGTTAATCTTACTGTCTCCAGTTTCCTGTTGTTTAAAATGGGGTGATAGCTCTCTTCTTCAGGAATGTTGAAAGGCTGATTGAAATACTATATTTTAAATAATTTTCTAGATTGGGCTGGAGAGATGGCTCCATGGTTAAGATCACTGGCTGTTCTTTCAGAGGACCTGGGTTCAATTCCCAGCACCCACACGTTAGCTAAGAACTGTTCATAATTCCAGTTCCAGGGGATTCCAACTTCTGACCTCTAAGGGCATTTGCATGACACAGGTGCATTTACACACATGCAGGCAATACACTCATATACAGAGAAAATAAAAATAGTAAATGAAATATTTTTTAAATTTTTTTCTAGAGAGGAGGAAATGGCTTGGTCAGTAAAGTCCTTGCCATGTAAGCATGAGGGCCTGAATATGTACCCCTAGTGCCCATGTAAAAAAGCCAGATGTGGCAGTGTGCTCCCAATGCTAGGGAGGTAGAGACAGGACTGCTGGAACTTGCTGGCCAGAAGTCTGGCCAAATCAGTGAGCTCCAGGTTCAGTGAGAGACCCCATCTCAAAAAATAAAGTGTGGAGAAACTGAGGAAGAAACCTGATATTGACCTGTCTCTGTACGAATGCATGCACCAACACCCTCCCAAAAGAACTTTGTAAACTGTGCTATTCACTTGATTTTACAATATTAGTAAAATTTGTATACCACGTATTGTGATTTGCCCTGTTATCTGAAGTTCGTACATGAAAGAAAAGAAATTGGCTGAGGTAAGTCAGTACCATTCTATTTCATCGGGGTCAGCAGTAAGAGGAGCACCTACCTCATACTCTCTGCAGGCACATGTCAGAACATGACACCATCATCTGGAATCCCATTGCATCTCAGGTGTGTATCAATGTCACTTCACATCTGAGAAGCTTGAGCCAAGCATGGTAGGACAGGCCTGTAATCATACAGTACTCAGGAGGTGAGACCATCCAGGCTACATGAAATACTGCCTCCAACCAGCCAACCAACCAGCCAACCAGCCAACCAGCCAACCAGCCAACCAGCCAACCAACCAACCAGCCAACCAGCCAACCAGCCAACCAGCCAACCAGCCAACCAGCCAACCAGCCAACCAGCCAACCAGCCAACCAGCCAACCAGCCAACCAGCCAACCAGCCAACCAGCCAACCAGCCAACCAGCCAACCAGCCAACCAGCCAACCAGCCAACCAGCCAACCAGCCAACCAGCCAACCAGCCAACCAGCCAACCAGCCAACCAGCCAACCAGCCAACCAGCCAACCAGCCAACCAGCCAACCAGCCAACCAGCCAACCAGCCAACCAGCCAACCAGCCAACCAGCCAACCAGCCAACCAACCAACCAACCAGCCAGCCAGCCAGCCGGCCAACAAGCCAACCAACCAGCTAACCAGCCAACCAGCCAACCAGCCAACCAGCCAACCAGCCAACCAACCAACCAACCAACCAGCCAGCCAGCCAGCCAGCCAGCCAGCCAACCAAAGAAACAAAACAAAACAAACAAAACAAAAAAACCCCCAGAAAAGAATACTATCAATAATACCCTGAGCAGACCACTATGTTTTGAATTTTTAGCTTTTCTTCACAGGCATGATTTTGGAAAACAATCTAATGTGAAATTTGTTTTCATTCTACTATGATGTTTTGATTCAATTTGTGGACTATAGCTGGAATACTTTTGAAAATTTTTTGTGACCAAATAAATCTGATGACGTTCCAAATGGCTCCTGTTTTAAAGACTTTCAAAAAAAAATTCGAACCCGGGTCTTCTGCAAGAACAACCAGTGTTCTTAACTGCTGAGCCATCTCTCCAGCCCCAGTTTCCCCCCATTTTTTAAAAGTATAATTTCTGGCTATGTGTGGTTATACACACCATTAATCCCAGCACTCAGGAGGCAAAGGCAGGGGGCTCTCATTAAGACTGAGGCCAGCTTAGTCTACACAGAGACTTCCAGGCCAGCTGGGGCTACAGGAGACCCTGTTTCAAAAACAACAACAAATGCACCCAAACTGGAGCTGGAGAGATGGCTCAGAGGTTAGGAGCACTGACTACTCTTGTAGAGGACCCGGGTTCAATTCCCAGCACCTGCATGGCAGCTTTGAACCATCCTTAACTCCAGTTCCAGGGAAATCCGAAGCCCTCTTCTGACCTCTGTGGCATTGCACAACACGGATGCACTCACACACATGCAGGCAATACACTCATACACATAAAATTAAAATAATAAAATATTAAAAGAAAAAAACAATGACCTCATGTATATAAAAAACAGAGGACAGGGCTGTAGCTCCATGGTAAACACAAGGTCCTGGATTTCATCCGCAACTTCGAAAGTGAACTACAACAAAACAGAATTGGATTAATTATAACCATTAGTGATTCAGTATCACCATTTATGCCTGTCCCTCCTATATATTTAAAACTAATTAATACTTAACAAACTAACACTAGTAAAATAAATAATCACCACCCAACCTAAGAACTAGTTGTTACAGGATTGCTCTCCGTCCTCTCTCCTTGTAGCTATCTGCCACATTGACTGTGAGGTTCTCCCTCCCCTCCAACCCCACCTCCATCCTTCATCCTTTCTTTCTTTATTTTGTGTGTCTGTGTATATGTGGACACACGTGTGGGTGGCTGTGCATGAGTGTGAGTACATGTGTGTGGAGAGGCCAGAGGTTGCTGTCAGGTGTCTTCCTCAACCCTCTGCTCTATTTACTGAGGCAGAGTCTCTCTCTGAACTTGGAGCTCACTGATTCAGCTAGACTGGCTGGCCAGTTGACCCTGGGGATTCCCCTGTCTCCACCTCCCAAGTGCTGGGATTACAGGTGGGCTGCCACACCTCCCTGGGTTTTATGTGGGTGCTGGAGATCGGAACTCCAGTCCTCATGCTTGCAACGCAAACTTACCAGTGACCCATCTCCTAGCCCTCTCCTTTTGTATTTTATTAGTACATATATGTGACACATTTTAAAACTTTACGAAAAAAAGGTAAGGTGCTATATTGTCTTCTGGGAGTAACTTGAAAATAAAAACTCTCTTATTAAGGTATAAGTTACAGGGAAGCACATTCATCTTAAGTGTTCCACTCAATGAATTTATGCATATACATGCTTACACACACATGCACACACACACGCGCGCTTATGTAATTAGCACCCAAGTCAACATATTGAACACTTCTAGAAACCCAAGGCCTTCCTCACACCCCCTGCCAGTTGGTATGACACCATAATAAGTTGACCTTTGTCATAAGATTGTCGTGATTAAAAATTTTTTTTATTTATTATTTTTATTTTATGTATATGAATGTATTGACTGCATGTATGTAAATGCACCACATGTGTGCAAAGCTTGAGGAGGTCAGAAGAGGGTGTCAGATCCCCTGAAACTGTAGTTACAGATGGTTGTTAGCCATCATGTGGGTGGGAATGGAACCCGGCTCTTCTGCAAGAGCAGCCAGTGCTCTTAATAGCTGAGCTGTCTCTCCGGCCCCAGCTCTGTTCTTCTTTAACCCCAAAGACATCACTGTTTTACCCAGTCACTCACATTGAATCCCCCAGGTTTTCTTTTTAAAAAGTAGTTTGTGGGCTGGAGAGATGGCTCAGCAGTTAAGAGCACTGACTACTCTTGCAGAGGACTTGGGTTCAATTCCCAGGACCCACATGGCAGTTAACAACCATCTGTAACTCCAGTTCCAGGGGAATCTAACACCCTCTTCTGACCTCCGTGGCATTGCACGACACGGGTGCACTCACACATATGCAGGCAATACACTCAGACACATAAATAAAAATAAATAAATAAAAACTAAAAAGTGGTTTGTTTGTTTGTTTGTTGTGTGTGTCACAAAAGATTTTAAAGGTCTTTTAAAAGAGATTTTTTTGTGAGTGCCATGGCACAGGTGTGGAGGTCAGAGGACAATTTTTTTTGGAGTTGATTCTTTCCTTCCTCCTTGTTTGAGGCAGGGTGTCTCTTGCTTCTGCGCTTCATATCCCAGGCTGGCCCCTCAGCTTCAGGGGGATTCTCCTGTCTCTGCCTTCTGTCTCCCTGTAGGAGTGCTGGAATTACAGACACGCATGACTGTATCTGAATTTTATGTGCGTTCTGGGCATGGAACTCAGTCTTGAGGCTTGTATGGCAAGTACTTTTATCTGCTGAGCCATCTCCTGGCACCTCTAAGAGGTCTAAGATCAGTTTCCTTTGTTTTGAAGCATGGTCTTTAGAATTAGTGATGCTGTACAGAGGGCAAACTCTCAGCATGTTTGAAATGTTCTCTCTCTCTCTCTCTCTCTCTCTCACTCGCTCTCCCTCTCTTTGGAACTCAGGGCCTCATATATGCTAGGCAAGTGCTCTGCCACTGAGGCCTACCCCAGCTTTCATCATTCACAGAAGCTTCTGGTGGTATATAGAATTTTACGTAGATGTGATTTTTCCAGTCCATTGAGGGCAACACTCTACCCTTTTCCTTTCCTCCCCTGACTTCTCCTTTTTTTTTTTTTTTTTTTTTTTTTTTGAGACAAGATCCAGCTATATTGCTCAGGCTAGCTTTGAACTTACCGTTTAATTCAGGCTGACTTGGAATTCACATCCTCCTGCCTCAGCTTACTGAGTGCTGAGATTACAGGCATGACTATTTCCACTCTGCTGGTTTTTGGCCTATGTCTAATTGCTGTTCCTTAAAGATAACCTGTCTTTCCCTGGCTGCTTGGAAACTCTCTGGGTGTTCTTCACCTAGACCCTGCTATATCTGAGTGGAGAGTTCTATTTATTTTCACTGGGGTGCCTTAGACCTCACAGCTCTGTGGATTAGTGATTTTCATCAGTTCTGGAAAATTCTTGGACATGATCTCTCATCTCACATCTTGCCTCTGCCTTTGCTTCTTCCATTAGGCCACGTGGACCTCTCTCTCTGTGCTCGGTGTCTCTCACCTTTCCTCGTTTCCCAGCGCTGGCTCTGGGCTGCTCTGGATCTTTATCTCTGACCTGTCTGTTCACAAAGTCCAACCACAGCACTGTCCAGTGCTTGAAAGCCATCTGTGGTGTTTCTAATTTCACTTGTTCTTTTGGAAGAGAAACAAACTGATGCTTTAAAATCTGATGTGTTGGTTTTGTAGGTTCCTTTTCCCCCTTGGAGGGTACATCTTACAAATGGGGCTTCTCCCTTCTTTCCTCCATCATCTTCAACTGCCAACACTGCCTTTAGTTTACTTTATTATGCGGTGGGGGGCAGGCCATCTCACCATGTCCCCCTGGCTGGTTTTTAATTATTAGGGTTAGGTAGTCCACCCTCCTCAGCTGAGACTGGGCTCAATATCACTTCCTTGATGGTCCCTGGAGCAGAAGGGCAACTTCTCTCACACTCTCATGCTGAAGCTGTCACATGCAGTCTTAAAATTTTTCTTTTCTTTTCTTTCCTTCCCCCTCCCACAAGACAGAGTTTCACACCATAGTCCAGGCTGGCCTGGAATTCACTGTGCAGCCCAGGCTGGCCTGGTCATGTTGCATCAACCTCTTGAGTGCTGGGATTACGGGTTGCACCACCACACCTGGCATGAGTTCCTAACTTGATGGGGACTTTTGATAGTGTGAGAGTTGAGACTAGTCTCAAAACTACTCCTCACACCTGCTCACACTGTAAAGTGTAGCAACAGCTGGGTCTCTTCAGGGTCAGATGTCAGCTCCACCGCCTAGGCCTCCCACTCTCTGGCAAGGTTTCTCCAGGGCTGATCTGGAGCAGGAGCGTGGGCATTCCTGCACAGGCGTCCAGTATTCCACACTATCTTCAGCTCGAGGGTGTGTTAGTTACTTCTCTCTGACACGAAGCAACTTAAGGGAGGAAGGATTTATTTTGGGTCACTGTTTGAGGAGATGCAGTTCATCCTGGTGGGAAAGGCACCGCAGTGAGGGGCTCCATGGAGGCAGGAAACAACCTGTGAGGTGTGACATTCAAACCACTACACAGAGGCTGTGTGAGCCATCTCTAGCTGAGGAGACAGCTTCTGTTTAATTTCTCCTATTGATTATTTTCTCCCTCACCCAGTGCTCTGGCAGAAGTGGCCATGGGAAAGAAAGTCTTACACATTCCCTACAGAGACTGTTCTGACCAAACTTCTCCAGTCAGCCCTGGGCGGGAACAGCAGAACTACTTTGGTAAGGTCTTCAACTCAGCTCTTCTTATTTTTGTTTCTTGAGACAGGGTCTCCCTATAGAGGGAGCTTGTTATGTAGACCAGGCTGGCCCTTGATCTCACACTGATCTACTTGCTTCTGCCTCCCAAGTACTGGGATTAAAGGCATGCACCACCACTCCTGACTGGCTCAGCTTTTACTGTGATATGATCTAGATCATTCTCAGTACACCCAGCAATTGGTGCTGCCAAGCCAGCCCTCCACATCATCTCACAACTCCACAATATGTGATGAAGCTTTTGTAGTAGTAAATTTAAGTTTTTACTTATTGTCCGTAACTCCAGTTCCAAGGGATCTGATGCCCACTTTTGTCCTCTGTGGGTACTGCATGACATGGGTGTATTTACACATGCAGGCATAATACATGTATACATAAAATAAAAATAAATAATTTTTAAAATTAAAGTTCAAATAATATTGCAAGTTATATATTCGGTAAGTGTTGTGTGAACATTCGCTGTATTTTTATGTATGTGTGTGTACAGGTGTGAGTGCATATGTGTGTATGTGGAGGCCAGTGAACAACCTTGGGTGTCATTCTCAGAAATGCTGTCCACCTCCTTTGAGACAGGGTCTCTCATTGGCCTGGAACTCACCAATTAGGCTATACCAGTTAGCCAGTAAGCCCCAGGGATCCTCCCCAGCCCTGGAATTTCAAGTGTATGTTGCCATGCACGCCTGGCTTGGTTGTTGTAGTGTTTGTTTGTTTGTTTGTTTCTTTTTGTAGCCCTAGTTGGCCTGAAACTCACTGTGTTGGCCTTGATCTCATAGACATCCTCCTGCTTCTGCTGGGACAAAAGGCGTGTGCCACCACACCTGGCCATGCCTAACATTTTTAATTTTATTTATTTTATTATTTTTATTTTTATTTTATGTGTATGTGTGTATTGCCTGCATGTAGGTAAGTGCGATGCCCGCAGAGGTCAGAAGAGCCTGTCGGATCCCCTTGGACTGGGGTTACAGACAGTTGTTAGCTGCCATGTGGGTGCTGGGATTAGAAACCAGGTCTTCTGCAAGAACAACCAGTGTTCTTAACCACTGAGCCATTTCTCCAGCCTGAATGCCTAACATTTTTATATGGGTTCTGGGATCAAAATTAGTTCCTCTTGCTTGCAAAGCAAGCACTGTACTAACTATGTCATCCTCCAGCCCAATATTAGCTATTTTAATAGCATCAACATTAATAAACCCTTGGATAAAAGAAATCTGTATGGGACATTTTCAGATTGCAGCCATAAGTCCAGCTGACATCTGCTATGAGGAAACCTTGTCAACATTAAGATATGCTGAGAGGTAAGTCTGTAAGTGGTGACTACCGTGTGTTCTGTGTTCTAAATCTGACCACTCCCTTCAGCACTCTTCTACTTTATGGGTTGGTGATTGGGGCGGGTGTCCAGGAAAAGAACAAAGTGACTATTGAGAGAGGAGTCAGAAGAAATAAACCAAACAAGCGGGATGAAGGGCTGGGGGGTTAGCCCAGTGGTTAAGAGCGTGTAGGCTCTTACAATTCTGTTCCTAGCACCCAAGTCCGCAGTTCACAACCACCTGTAATTTCAGCTCCAGGGGTTCCAATGCCCTCTTCTGGACTCTTCAAATACTACACTCACATGGACACACACACACACACACACACACACACACTCCATTAAAAATAAAAAGTCCGTATTAAAAGAGAGAGAGAGAGAGGGA